CACATTTTGATGATTGGAATGTAAACAAGTGAGAAGTCATGATAGGGCGGTAGTGGGATAAGAGGGAAAAGAGTAGATAGATAGACAATGACGTGAAGAGGAGTGATGGTGTAACCGTTTCTAACAGAATGGTTGTCGAAGCATTGACTTCACTTGTCTCTTTGACCAGTTCGTATCTTGCTGCAGAGAATGGTAAAGCTCACTGATGATGCTGACTAAGATGCCGGTGAAACGTTTGAGAATGTATCAAGTCCACTGTCAGATGCTGGGAATAATGACAACTACTGTGGCGGACGACTTCGGACTACGTGCGTTCTACATAGTCGCCCTGACAACAAGACCAAGTTGCGACAACGAGATCAACCCACTTCTAGGAGGAATTTGGTTGCCAATTCTATGACAGCTGATCAAATACACATACCGCCTTCATTTGTTGTAGATTGCTGGAGAATGCTTGCTGAAGCACACGAAACGACAAGCCTCATGTCATCTCTAGACAGGGTGGAGTAGATATAAAAAATTAGCAATTAGTTGCCACCGCTACAACACACAAATCCCTACCAACACCTAAAACATAGTTAACTTTTTTATTCTCGTTTACTTTTGTGCACTTGTGACTGGGACCGTTGCGAGCCTAGGCTCTTCTTCCCCAATCCTGGCCACGGAGCGTCGAAGCCCAGCTACTCGCACAACCAGACCAGCCGGCGGAAGCGAAGACGTCCGAATGGTCCAGGTCGTGGCTGTTGCCTCGCGTGTCGCCAACCGGTGCTCTACGGCCAGTGGTACGTGCAATTGGGACAAACGGAATTGTGCCTGCACCATCGGCCCTCCTGCCTTGCCTGTAGGGTCTGCGGCCGGCCCATCCGTCCTGGCGACAGATGCTCGGCGATTCCGCTGCCTCGTGCCTCTGACGATGGCATCGGTGAGGCCAGAGTTGGTGGAGACGAACTAGGCGATTTGGAGCAGACGACCCGAGGCTTGGTGTGTGCCATACACGTGCAAAACTGGCTGGCCGATGCAGGGAGCCTGGGCAGTCGGAAGGCAGACATTGGCGCAGCAAATAGAGAAGACGAGACCGGAGGTGAGGTGGAGAATAGGCTGTATCCAAGTGGTGATAAGTCATTCATCCTCAAGGTTAGCGTCGACAAGGGGGCTCTCTCGAAGAGGAGGGAAGAAGAGGCGGATGGAGGTTCATGGAGTGATGATAAAAGTTGTCGTAGGAAACGAAGAAGTGAGTACAAATTCGAGACGGAACGTGAGGAGGAAGATGAAGCCAAGGTGGCAGCTGAGGAGAGTGGAGAAGAAAAGGAATGTATGAAAGGAAGACATAAAAATGCTAGAGGGATCGCTAATTGGAGCGAGAAAAGCGTAAAAATCGGTCGACAGTCAAGCGGTACTCGACAAAGCAAGATGAAGTCGGATATGGGACTCGGCCTGGGACCAGGTGTGGAGGAGCCGATGGAGACTTGGCAATTGAACGCGACAGGTTTCGTGTGCTGTCGGTATCGTCTGAGGCGTATGGAAGAAAGGGATGCCGAGAATGCAGAGAATGTGGAGATGGAGGCAGAGGAAGAGGAAGAGGAAGAAGAAGAGGCGGAGGAGGAGGAAGAGGAGGAAGTGGCGGAAGGGCACGAGGAGACGAACGGGACGAAGGAGCAAGAGGGTGAAGAGAATGGGCTGGAGGCGTCCGTCGTGAGAACATGCAAAATGGAGGAGAGTGTGACAAGAAATGAGCATTTCGACGAGTCACCAGTCAAAATGGTGGAACTTGTAGGTGACAGAATACTCGATCTTGCCAAAAGGCCTGACCAGGTGAGAAAAACACACTAATAAACATAATATGATGTCTTCATAGGAACCGATAACTTTGGCATCATCTTAGCCAACAATAAAAGATTCATCATTTCTAGTTATATAAAAAGCAAAATGAGGATACTTTTTAAATACACCTTTTAGTAATGAAGAACCAAAGAGCCATTTTTGAAATGTTTCAAGTCATGTATCTTGTCTTGCATTTGTGTACTTCTGTCCCTTCAAGATGCTTAGCCCACTTCTACGCCGAGTGTGGGTGCGTGATGAAGAGATTCGGCAGTCCGCCCTACCAGAAGACGACGACACATTTCTCTTGGTCAGTTTTAGTGGATCGTTCTGGTTGACGCCGTATCCAAGGCAATCTGTTTCGATTTCAATGA